ATGTCACACTCTTGTAAGGCAAAAAAGTCACATTCTCTGCCCTGTGAAGCTTTGTCAGGGCAGATGATTGCCCTGAAAATCAGATGGTTGCCCTGAAAATCAGATGGTACTATGAAATGCGTGAGCTGGGCAAGGACAAGAAAGCAAAAAACATGCGTTTTTACAGGGTTGAGTGTAACATCAAACACATTTTGCACCGGGGAAGGGCAACATTTTTTGGAAGAAACGAAATCACCATAGGTATGTACAGTGCAGGCTAGCAATAAAATTACAAAATACCTGCGTTATATACCTACTATGTATAGAAAATTCACAGCAAGTAATGTTCGCGTCTTGAAATTATCTTATTTTTGTATCATTTGGTTTCACTTTTTTCTACTTTTACTCGGAGAGTATATAGACACAAACATCTGCACAATACAAAAGGTATGGCGTGTCAAGAATGCCAGACATTTACTGCTACGCCTGCATACAATCTGCCTGCCATTCAAAAGGCGATGTGACTGATGGCGTTGGCGTTGTCGTTGGCTTTGACGATAAAGACGGCTGCGCTGTCGTTGACGCGATAGTGGTGATGGTGATTGCTAGGATGACGATATTGAAGTACAAGGCAGCTACCTACTAACATCCACCGGAATGTGGACAGGCATTGACGAGAGTCGGGGTCGAAACGCTGCAATCATATATGTATACAGTCAGTGCCAAAATGATGCATGCCCGTCAGAAATTTTCAAATTTAAGAAAAAATTTAGTATGCAGTTTTGCAGCCCATTACACTTTTGTAGATATATGCAATAAAGTGCAAATTTTAAGTCGATAGCAATTAATTACCGTAGATTTTTAGAATGTTGCGTATCTTCTTTCATATTTGTACCTACATATATGTATGTATAAATGTAAATATAAATAAAGATTGTGTTCATGAGTTACATTAGAAGAAAATGCGTAACACCCTCAGCAAAAAAAAAGAATCCCAAAAAAAAGGGTAATTTTTAGCGACTTAAAACATGCACTTTACAAAACATATAAAAACTGCATACTCAAAATTTTTTTAAGAAAACGAATTCAAAAACTAAAACTTTCGATGAAAATTTTTTGGGTGTTCTCGCATTTTCCAAGAGTTCTGTATGATATTAAAAAAAAAATATATATTTTTGTGGTTTTTGCTGTTGTATGAACTATATTTTTGTCGCTGACTGTATATGCAGAAGCGTTGTAAAATGCAAGAAACTGCAGACTCTTAAGGCAAAGGCGTAGTATGTTTGCTTTATAAGCATTATACGCAAACAAAAAAAAAAGAACAAAAAAAGATAAATAAGACGACAATTGAAGGCATTGCTTTGTTTGCAAATATAATTAACAAGCACAACAGCGATTGGCTGCCTTGATACAGTAGTGGGAACATACATGTGAGACATACACACATCGACTACATCTTTATCTAGATATTTACACACACTCTGTATATACATACATATGTACATATAAGCATTAGATACCAGCGTTGACTGTATATGCAATAAGATACAAAATGAGCAATTCAAGTGTGCTGATAGTTGTAAGGAGGCCGGCTACATCGGGTAAAACTATACATTCATTCATACATATACATACATATAGTAAGTACAGGCTAGGTGGAATCTGCAAATGAAAACGTCGAAACATGTTACGAGTATAACTTGGAATTGTATTGATAAGAGATGATGATTTTCTAACATTCAATGCCAATTCATTTAGATAACAAATTTTTATGCAAAGTTTAAATTATAGAAAATTTTTACAAACTCACGCACACTTCTGCTTTGGCTAATAAAAAGAAATGCGTTGAAACACTATTAGTTATTATTAATAGCATTAACACAGCTATAATAGTCATGGGAAATCAGTTAAGTTAGTGAAATTAATTTTTAGTAGTGAAAGCACTAGTTATAATGGTTTTATCGTACCCATCAAATGTACATACATATGTTTGTATTCAGGTTAGTTGATACATGAACAATAAAAGCATGTTTAGCTTAAGTGAATCCCACAACATACACATTTGCATACGTATGTACATACATACATACATGCATGTCAAAAAGTTTATTAAAAGCGAATTTGAGCTCTAAGGGCTTGGCCATTAATGAATCATTAAGTGGAGTAGACGTATTGAGTTTTAGTTACATTTCGTTCAACATTAGTAAGTACATATGGTTACATACGATGTATGTATGTATGTTACTTAATATGTATAATCAGATAGGTATTCAATTAAATTTATTTAATTCAATCAATTACACAGTTCAACAAAATTTGATCGTATTTTATCTCAAAAACGGAGCAGACCTCATCTTGTAGATTTTTTATGCTGATTTGAAATGCATTTACACAATTTTTCTAGCACGTCCAGTTTTTGAGAAAAAAATTGCTGAAGTGGCGAAAAATTGCAAAATCGCATTTTTCAAAAAAAAAAAATTTAATAGAATTTGCACGTTGTTATTCAGAAGAAAAAAAAAGCACGTATTAATGAAAATCTAATTCGTCTGATGGGTTCTTACACATTTCGATGAGTCCATTAGAAATGAGTGAAAAAATAAAATAAAAACTCAGTTCTTCAATAGCATACACTTGATTTCCCACAGATACGGAAATCTCAATGAACGTAATTATTTTAAAAACAATGTTATTTCGTGAACAATCCACATTAAAAAATCAATATTCCAGATTCATAATTAATTTAGCCAGTCTCCTAACAATTTCCGCGTTCTGGAATGAAATCCTTAAACTTTTTTTTTGGAATCGCATTATCATCGCTTTTCAAGATCCAGCAAGCATGTGGAGATTTGATTTCCTATTATAGCACTTCTCCATAGTGGATTTGCCCCAGTGGAATCGTTCTCCATGTTCTTAGCTAGTGTTTTTACTCAGTTTTTTTTACTTTTCACCTTTTCCTACTCAATCCATCGACATGTATAGAATCGATCAAACGAATTAGATTTTCACTAATACGTGATTTTATTTTTCTTCGGAAAAACTACGTCCAAATTCTATTTCTTAATTAATTTTTGCAATTTGCCATTTTTCTCATTTCAAGTTTTTTCTCAAAAACTGGACGTGCTAAAAATTTTTTTAAATGCACTTCAAATCAGCATCAAAAAATCTATAAGTTGAGGTGGTTCCGGTTTTTGAGATAAAATGCGACCAAATTTTGTTGAACCGTGTTATCAATCACCGGATAAATATGTAGCATAGTGGAACTGTTTAGAGGGTATCTAAAAATATTGGCAGTCATTATTGCAATTACATCAAAGTATTTATAATTACGAATTTAGAAGGGCTTGTGCGCCAATTAAAAGTACTAATAATGATTTGCGCATTTCCTTCGAATTTAACCATTTTTTTAGTTTCAAACAATATCTTTTTTCAACCACCTACAATTCTCTAAAATACATAGATTTATTGCGAAACACGAAAGATTATTGTCCTGGCAACAGGATAAAGGGAGTGGCTCCAAACATACAAATATGTATTCATACATAATAATATTTACATACATATATACACATACCTAAATATTGAAAGCAGCTTTCGTTTTCACAGGCAGCAACAACGATGGACGATGACAGCAACTTTTTTAAGGCTATTCACAAGTAAGCCCAGGGATAAAAGGAATTAGACAGCATCAGCAGGTCACAAGAAAATATTCATAAGAGAAATGCACCCAGGTTAACATAAATATGTATACCATGCATCACTCATTTATGAAACGAGTGTTTTTGTTACCAATATCGTTGACTGATTCCTCTGTTTTTTCGTTGCTAGCAATCGCATACCCCTTAAGCCGGTAATCCTGTGAAAATGTTCCAAATCAATTCCGACTGTTTAAGTGTAGACGGCGTTGGGGCGCCGGTGACACGACGCCTTTAAGTTGCATTTGCACATATGACAATAAAATCCATACACACATTAATATACATGTGTGTATGCACATTTGTACGGATGTACACATAAAACGACCGCGGACGCGCAACTGCAAAGTTGGAATAGCGCAATGATGGGGACTATGTGACGCGACTTGTTTTTTCTTTCCTGAATCGATTTACTTTCAATTTCTTGCTATTGCACACTTATATTTTATTTTAACTTTTGCATGTTGCTATTGAGCTACACGCCCCCATCGAGCATCAAACCACTTCCCGCGTCTTTTGTACCACTTTTCACACACTTGGCAGAGCCCGATACTTCTCAACGCTACTCTTCAGCTAGCAAGGACGTCGAGGGTGGAGCAGTCGCATAATAAAATGCAATAGCAGGAAAGATGTAGAATAAACGCAAAGTGGAAAAATTAAAAAAAGGATGCTGTGCTGGCTTTCGCTTTCTTTTACATATACACCCCTGAAATTGCACTTTTATTGCGAATTTTAATACATTTTCTACGCTCGCTGGAACTTGCTATATTCATTTCTGATAAATCACTTTGCTTTTCATACAATTAGTATTAATTTTCATTTAATAACTTCTCAACTTCTGCATTTTTTAATTTTTCACATCCTTCCATATATTTTTTTAATTTTTTAATTGCACAAAAACCCGTCGTAAACAACCGTTGACAAACTCAACCAAATTGAAAATGAAACAAATTCACTCGCCGAAAAAGTTTTTACCTCTCTCTTTCTTGTTCATTCGCTCTTGGCCACTACAGGGTTGCATGCGATGAATTTTTTCTGGAAATGATTTTTTTAGTGGCGGCGGTGTAAATTCAACGATTAAATTTTAACTTTGACTAATAATTTTTAAAATAGCTGAATTTTTAATATTTCAAATCGCATTTGCCCATTTTGGCCCCACACCGATTCGCCTTACAGCTTTTTGAACCCAAACCGATTCGCGGTAGTGTCATAAAAAGTCCCGGATACCACGAAAAGATATTCCGCAAAATGTGCGTGTTTATCACCCTGTACTTACGGTAGTGCATTCCAATGATTTCGGGTAGCTCCAGAAAAATTCCAGCAAGTTTGACGTTTTCATTTTGTTTTGCTTTTTTGTGCTCGTTAGCTGTCATTTGGTTTTCTTCTCATTCCTTGCAATTTTCCCCAATTTAATTCAGAACTTTGTGCAAATATGCCCACAGAAATTGAAAATATAAACCCAAATGTTTATGGGAAACGTAAGGAACGTGAAGTGACCGCAAATGAAGAGGATGAAAACGTGCCGGACCCCATCGATTCGCGTGAAATATTTGGTAGATATTTGGGCCTACTTTGCATATATATACATGCAGATAAATTTATCACTGTCCTTTCAGACCTCGTTCGTAACATCAACGACCCAGAGCATCCACTCACATTGGAAGAGCTGCATGTAGTGCAAGAAGATTTGATTCGAGTAAACGATGAGAAAAATGAGGTAACTATTAAATTTACGCCCACGATTCCTCACTGTTCGATGGCTACACTCATTGGGTTGTCCATACGCGTAAAACTGCTCCGCTCGTTGCCACCACGTTTCAAAGTGAATGTAGAGATTACGCCTGGAACGCATGCATCAGAAAATGCTGTTAATAAGCAACTTGCAGACAAGGAGCGTGTTGCAGCCGCGCTGGAGAATAAGCATCTAGCTGAGGTCATTAATCAATGCATCTCTTTTAAAGCTTGAAGGCGTGCGACGATTTGTCGCAATCTTCTTTTCTTTATTAAAATTTACATTTCAAGCGTTCAACTGGTAAAACTAAACTATAACAACTAATAGCACACTAACTTAAGCCTTTTTCGCGTGCACCGTGGACGTACTCGTACTTGTGTTTCCCGTCGCAGGCTGTGGTTTGGTAGGATCATATTTGAATGTCTTCACTAAGGGACCCTTGCCGGCTTTGGCAAAACGGATTTCATCCAGACGCTGACGCTCTTCAATTTCTTTTGTTATTTTCATATTTTCCCATGCTAAAATGAAAATAAAGTGGATATCTGCATAATTCTTTAAATGGGGCTATCTATTTTGTTACATACATTCTTTCATCCCCTTAACGAAGCCTTTCTTCTTTATTGGAAGGTTGTCTTTTTTATGCTCCACCATCTTGTCGATTTTGAAGTAATCCCGCACTGCAGGTATTCTCAGCATGGCCACCTTAAATGAAGACCAGGTGAGTTGTGCAAAAATCTAATAAAAAAATTAACTTTATCTACCTGACCCAAGGAAATGAAATTACTGCAAGCCCAATAAGTCAGAATGGCTGCGGGGAAGTTCATTGTAAAGGGGAAAATAGCAATTGGTAGCGCACGCAAAACATATTTCATCATTGACATATTCTGTGCGGACAAACGTGCACTGTCCGTGCCAATTTCTATCGTTAAATAGAGCGTCGCGCTGGTAATTAATGGCAACATGAATGTGGGATCGGCAATGGTTAAATCGGTAAACCAAAATAGACCACCNGTGCGAGTGGTACAATCATATTCTTCAAAGGATTCACTTGTTTCTCCTTCATAAAAAGCATCATTTCCTGGGCATAACGCGCCGACTCGATGGCATTACCACTTTGGCGAGCTTCGCTCATTTTCATTTGTAATACTTGCAGTTGCGGCATGTAATTGTTCATTTTTGCTGCATTTCTTTGAGCCATTATCACCAGCGGGAAAATAATAGTGCGCACTACCGCTGTGCCAATTGCAATTGTTGCCCACCATGGTAAATCACAACCAATATGTAAAAACTCCATGCAGTTTTGAACGAGACCTACAGGCGTCCAGCCACCAAGCCCTATTGATGCAAAAGTGGGTTCTCCAGCGGCATTGAGTAGTTGTGTGGCAACATCTTCGACTGGTGCGGCTGGTGCTTCAGGAATTGCTGAAAGATCTACTACAGTTTTGCTAGCATTAGCAGTATCTGCGACCGCATTAGTTGCACCAGTTACTGCAGCATCAGCGCTAGCAAACCGTATTCCGCCTGCTGACAAACTAAGTGTATTTAGCGATGACGGCAAAAGCAGTGGGTGTGTTGTTGTGTTTGCACGATCCGCTGCATGATATTCTC